CAAGATATAACATTAAAAACATATTTCGAACAAAAAAATTATTAGAATACTCTTGAAACATTCAGTTTTGGTCAATTTTATGTTCAAAATATTTTTTTTATTATTGTTATTTTTTGTGCCATATAAATATGCATCTACCCACCAAATTTCAAACAAATATAACTCTTAAATAAAGATAAAAATAAAATAGGGAACTATTTTGTATCCGTTGGATGATGCTAGGTTCAATCTGAACCATTGAAGGGAGCTTATGCACCCTTCAAATGTGGATGCTTTACCATCCCACATGCATACATACATACATACACTCACACATATATGTATGTATGTATGTATATGTAGAGAGAGCAAGGGGGCAAGAGAGAGAGAGAGAGAGAGAGAGAGGGCACTCCTATATACATTGAATACACATATCAGGCACCTCCCAAACGTTCCAAGGGTTGGGAACTTTGGCCATTGTTCTAGGCCAGGTTCCTGATCCCACTTCCTCTCCCAACACCTATAGTCCTAGTTGAAGCCTTTAAACAGTTGTCCAAAGAATCACGTATTGATTTTTTGCATAATGAAAGTCCATGTCACAAACTATTGATATAATTCATTCTAATGTATGGGGTCTAGCCTATATTACAGATTTTGTTGGTAACGAGTATTTTGTTAGTTTTATTGATGATTGATCTTGTACAACCTGGATTACCCTCTATTAGATCTAAAGATGAAATAGTATTTGCATTTGAAGCTTTAATAAAATAGTTGTTACCCAATATGAAGCTGTACTTGAATTGAACAAAGTTTGCAATCAGCATATGATTGAGTTCCCTGAGGGAAATGACATTCTTAATCAAACATCTCCCTTCTGTCCACAACATAATGGGGTTGTCGAGCGCAAGAGTAGACATCTCTTGGAGGTAATTTATGCCACTATCTTTACTATGAATGTGCCTAAGATTTATTGTTGTGGTCTACCAGACTACCAGTTGCATTGGTTACCCATTATTGTCCGAGGCTCTGAGGTCACGTTTACACCCTTGGAAAAATTGACTGGACATAAACCTATTGTGTCTTAGGGTCTTTGGATGTGCTTGTTATGTCCATCTTACCAAAAAGTACTTGAGATAAGTTGAATCCTAAAGCTATCAGGTTCATTTTTCTTGGATATTCTTCCACTCAAAAAAGCTATAAATATTATGATCTAAAAAGTTAAAGCACTTTGTTTTGAGAATGTTTCTCCAAGGATCCCACATCATCATTTGATGTGTTTGAAGGAATTGATCATATTGTTTCACCAATTTCTTTTAGACCATTTGTGCCACCCCAGTTAGTTGCCATGTTAAAGGAGCCTTGTTCCCTTCCGACTTACGACAAAAGCTTAATCGTATAAATGAACTTGTAGAATTGTAGATCCACAAGATGACTTGTCTGCTCTTGACAATTTGGAGCAATTAGGTCGCAACCTAGATATTTCACTGTTGGATTAGGATTTATCTATTTATTTTCTGAAGAAAAAAGCAACCCTTGTTCACTTGAGAAATTTGTTTCCTACTTGAGTATATCTTCTTCGCATTTTCTTTTTCTTTCTTCCCTTAACATTTTTTCAGAACCAAAAACCTTCTAGAAAGAAGTTACTCGTCTTGAACGGACAAATGTCACTGATGATGAGATACCGACGTTCGAGAAAAACAAAAACTGGGATCCAGTTCCTTTACCTAAAAGAAAGAAGGTCATAGGATGCAAACGGGTGTATAAGGTTAAACCGCTCCTTGATGGTACCATTGATCCAGTACAAAGCCAAACTCTTGGCCAAGGGCTTTACCTAGTGTTATGGAGCCAATTACCCTGAGGCATTTTCTTCTGTCGCTGAGATGGGAACTGTTCGGGTTCTTTTTCTATTTCAACAAATAAGAATTGAGAATTATTCCAGTTGGATGTTAAAAATACTCTCCTCTGCAGGGATCTTCAGCAAGAAGTCCACAGGCAATAGTCACCACTTCCTGGTTGGAAGGTACCAACAAGTCTGGTATGTTGCCTTAAGAAAGCCCTCCATGGTCCAAAACATTCTTCCCTAGCACGATTTGAGAGATACAATCAAGCCATGGTATGTGCTGGATACACAAGTAGCTCATCAAATTATTCCATTTTTGTGAAGAAACAAAGGCTGTGGACCGACAATTTTATTACTATACCATGATGATATCATTCTCACTAGGAATGATACTAAAGAAATTCAAAAATTTAAACAAGTATCAGCTCTTGCAATTCTGTAGTAAGGATGTGAGAGTGCTTAATTACTTTCTGGGCATTTAGGTTGCACAATCGAAGAGAGGAATTTTTAAATGGCAGCGCAAGTGTACCTTACATCTCCTAAAGGGAATAGGTAAGTTGCAGCTCATCCCATGGACTCTCTAGTGGATCCAAATTTCAACCGGAACTAATTCTGGTGCTTTACTGGAGGATGTTGGTAAGTTCCAGCCATTAGTGAGTCGCCTTATCTATTTGACTGTTGTGGGCCTCGACATCATGTTTGCATGTAGCTCAGTGAGCTAATACATGCATGCTCCATGCACCAGCCATCTTGAGGCAGTTAATTTGCATCCTAGGCTACTTAAATTCATCTTTAACGAAAGCGATACTCATGCACAACAAATATTACATTGATCTATGCGGATATGCCAATGCAGATTGGGCAGGTTCATGTCTCGACGGGCAATCCACTACTGGCTATTGCAACTTTTGTAGACGACAATCTTGTTACAACGCATAGCAAAAGAATAAATTGCTGTAGCTAGCACGAGTGCAGAAGAAAAGTATCAAGCTAGGACATCAACTTCGTGTAAGCTGGTGTGGTTGCAAGCACTTCATAAAGAAATGGTTGCTCATCTTCAAGGTTCTATCACACTTCATTGTGATATTCAGGCTGCCATCCAGACGGTAACCAACCTAGTATTCAAAGAGTGCACTAAATAAACTAAAGTTGACCGACACTATGTGTGTGACAATGTAACTTGAAATATTATCTGTACTCCATTATGTGAGAACCTCTGAACAACTTGCAAACTTGTTTACCGAAAGACTTGGGTGACAAAGATTGCAATAACTTACTAGCAAGTTGGGCATCCTGGTCTCAACAGTTTAAGGGGAGTGAAGACAGATTTGACCCACAAGTGTAAATTTGTTCTTTATGCATACTTTTGTACTATGATAATGTTATAACGTCCAACTTATCTAAATGCTTCAGTGTACATTCTAAAAACTAAAACATCCTAGGGTAGTTTTTATACATATTACAAATATAAAATATATGAAGCGGTGTTGGAACGGTAGTTGTTCCATTTCTTTTCCTTTTATCTTGTCTCTTTTTGAACATTGCTGTGTGGACCAGCACTAGTTTAACCCTTCCCTTTTTCTTTTGTTGGGTAAGTCAGTAGGTATGATGAGCCCCTACCTGTTTTTTGAAATAGTCAATTTTTTAATTTGTTAGTGAGATTGGTGGTCAAGACCTTTCACTAGGGCTCAGGTGGTACTATCACCATGACCCCAGCCGCATTCTCTAGTTCAACCCTTTGCTTCTCATAAAATAATCTATTATGACAATTATGATTGGCTACTTGGGGCATCTCCATGCATGCAATTTTTTTTTCTTTTTAAGCGGATTCCATTTGTACATGTTCCATTTTGAGTTTGAATAAAAATTAGATGGAAATAAAATTGGCATTGAAGTAATACTGAATTACTCGAAAAGGTAAATAAAAATATAAATACATATATCCGATTGCTAAATATTCGTGGTATATCATGGAAGGCACATGCCATTAGCTTGTCGTATAAATATTTGTTTGCTGTGTGTGATCAAAAGTCTTCGGTTGTGCTTTTTAGGAATAGAAAGTTTTCGTGCCTGGAAATGGCAAACAATTATAATGCTGGTATCTGAGTTTAGGTTGATTGCCAATTTCTACAACAAAAGCAAAGATATTTGAGAAACATTACTCCTATATGCCCCTATTAGTAATTTGGGCATTATGGACAGGGGTGATATATTTAAAGTTTTTAACTGCACCTGCATGTCGCTTGTATTGTTACTGCAATGATCCCTATTATGTATAACATTTGAGGCTCCTCTAGGGTGTCGTGTGAACTTTCTCATGCTTTCAGAGCTGAAAACAGGAAATGGAGTTAGTGAACGCTTGGGAATCTGGAACTTTCGCCATGGTGTATCTAGAGCCATATCTTTTTTTTTGTACCATTTTAAATCTAGGGCTTGTGTTAAATGTAAAGATCATTATGTGTCTAATTTATGCTGAGCAGAAAGATTTTTCGTAACATACATGTACTGTTAAATGTTGGGGCAACAGTTCTTACTTGTGAAAGATTGTTTTTCTGCAAATTATTTGCTATACAATTTGGACAACTTACTCTTTTGATATTGATTCTTGAGGCCTCTGCTTGTGTTTATGGTTCTAATGTTCTGGATGTTTCATATATTACCTAGTGTGTTATCATATCACAAACTCTCTAGTCTTTCTAATTATCAAAAAAAAAAAAGTTCTTTCTCTAGAATGTTGCTCTTTTCCTTCTAGTTGTGTCTTGCAGACATTCTCTACTTACCCTGTCATGTTCAATATTAGTAATAGATAACAAGTGCATTTATTAAAAAATTCTGCAGAAGCATGCACAGGTTTGACACGTAAAAGAATTTATGGTAATGTACTAAAATACTTAAAAGTGTTTTGGTTTTCTTTTAGTTTTATGAGAAAGTACATCTTTCTGCATATTTGGATCTCATATTAATCCAATTTAGGGAACAATTTGTTGTCCTCTGATTGAGACTCATCTCTTTTGTTTATTCTAACTATATACTGCTGAGCTTATCTGTTAGTCTCCTGGAACCACCACTAAAACTGGCAAATGGGAAATCTCTCCATTGATGACCTGATTCTTGAGTTCTCTTCTAGGACTCGTATCTTCTCCCTTTCTGGAAAGAAACCAACTTCCCTCTCTTTGTGCAGGGCCCTTTTCATAAAATTTGCAATGAGCATAATGATGATAGTGCCAATGGCCGGGTGCCCGAGTGCGAAGGTCGAGCTGTGAGCTTTCTGTGCAGGTCAATAAGCAAAGACACAGTCAATGCCATTTCCTGGAGCAGTGGGCAGATACAAATCGATGCCCTGGCAGATGAAGTGCAACCAGTTTGGAACCTTGGAAGTTCACCTCGTCTATGTGTAGACAATGGAGGAATCATTGAAGCAGTAGCAATGATCTGTGATTCAAGCCCGGAGAAACCCAACAATGCCAAGCTTTATCCCAGTCAACGAACCCTGAACACTAGCATGGCAGACTCAGTCTGGATTGGAGACCCACCTCCCCTGCTTAGATTGGCTGTCGTCGACTTGGCATTGCCTTCCAATATTTTGAATGATTCTCCACTCACACTGGTTGCTGATCCTCTCATTCCTGAAAGATTCTATTGTTTGCATAGGGGTGGGGTTGACTCAATTATGTTGCATTTTCTTCCATTCTCTGATCAGACTATTGAAAAGAATAGAATTGGAGAAGCACCTTCCGTTCATCCTGTTTTGACCACATATCAGAGTGAGACCCTTCAACCATTCCCATTGTCTGGTTTTGTGGCAATTGCTGATTCCTTTGGCAATACGTGGACAGTTGCACTTACATCATCCTTCGAATGTTTGGTGATGGAGATGACAGGATTGAGTGCATATTTTCAGGTTGAGAGAGAAAAGGGCTCTCCCAATCTCACTGTTGAGAATGATGAAGTGCTGCCTGAGCTAGTTAGCAGAGAGTTGCTCATGGGTCCAAAAGATGTCCCTATCCCTCAGCTCCCTCCGAGTTTGCGATCATTGACCCCGGATTCTATTGAAGGGCGATCCACTCTTCATGAATACTTCAAGATTCTCCATGAAAAGTATGTGGAATATGCCCATAAGGTAATGAAAATATTCATGCTCTTTAGCTACTACTATATCTTCTCACCTTCACTCAAAATTCACAGGACTTAGCAAATATTGCCTTACTGGAAAGATATTGCCAGATTAGAATAATATTGCTTAGCAGTAAACAAACACACACACATACAAAATGCTTAGTTGCCAAATTGTCATCTTCTTCCTTGGTGGAAATTAATGCTTGTTTCTTGTTGCTGAATAGGTATATGTAGAATTGAATCACCATGCGGCTCGCTTGAAGAAGATCACAGATGACCAGGTTGTGCGTTTACATGAAGTCCAACAGAATCTTCTCCATGCTGAGGAGGACGAACCAAACATAAGGGATCGGATTGGTCGTGCTTTTGAGTTTAACCTGCAGTTAGTGGAGCGCCTTCAGGTGCTCAGAAGCTTGCCAGGAATTCAACAAAAACCTCTTACAAAAGCTGAACGGGAGTTCAAATCCGAACTTGGTATTCTTTCTTTTTAATTTCTCATTGGTCTCTCTCTCTCTCTCTCTTCTCTTTCTCTCTCTATTT